AGCTTCCACAAATTTGATACACTTGCCTCCTGCGATAGCATGGATACGACCATAAAAGCAGCATCTTCTCGTGTGTCGACCAGATTTTTTCCCAGGAGGGTCCACCCGAGTTTCATCTGTATGGTTGTAGCACCGTCATCCAACTGGACTACTTTTCCCGTGAACAATTTTCCTGCAACATCAGCTCCCATTAATAACGTAATAGGTTCTTTACCTTCTGCTGTGTCGTATAGTTGCACATTATTCTTCTCGAGCGCATCTGCCCACGGCTTATAGTTCATCTTCGGTGTATCGTGACATATAACATTTTTCTGGAAAGCTATTTATTGCATTTGTACTCTCCGTTCGGATGATCCACATGAACTCGACAAGCCCTATGTTTCTGTGGGGTAGTCTTGCCTCCTCCAAATAACAAATGCACCATTGTTTGTTCGCCCACAACATCGTAACCGAGTTCGTCTGCTACTCTGCTTAAAATGTAAGACTTATGTGAACCCGTGTCAATAATAGCACGCGCCTCTCTCGTACCTTTAGGGCCGTGCAATTTAACTTTTAATAAGGGTAAAGATACGTTAACATTTAAAGAAATGTTAGAAAGGGCGCTATTTTCTTCCTTAAAAACCTGTTCCTTTGATTCCATTGCTTTATTCGGTTTATTATTGCCCGAAAAATCTCTGCACATTAGCAAGCAGTGTCCCTTTCTGCACCAAGAACATTTTTCTTTGCTGCGACATCCTTTGTAGCCGTGACCGGTCTTCATCGCTACTTACAGTCTCTGATGCAATTATCCTGTTTATAGTCTCGATCGCATATCTGTGGACCTCCATGAATATTTTCCCCCTGAGTACTCCGTTAAGGTATGCCGTCGCGATGACAAACTGATGCAAAAATATTCCGTATTCCGCCGTAAGGGCTGCCATGGTTTTAAGTGAACTCCCAGTGAGAAATGATTCGTCGATCGATGTCAAAACGATGTCGAATCGACGAATCATTTCTCACTGGGTCAGACGTGCAACGGGCGCGAATATTTCGATTAAGTCGACGCACGGTAGTTGAGCGAATCCTCTAGCGACGACGTGAGCTTTCCTCCGGTCGAGAGTTCCGTCGTATTTGTGTTTATTGTACTTGTATTTATTTCTAAGGACAATTCGGCTGCGGATCACATTCTGATCCTTCGGACGATCAACTATGTTCCAAGTATCGTTCTTGATGATAGATTTCATCTGGGAAACAATTACTTAATACCACTCTTCGGCGTAACGTTAATGAATCGCTTGGTCGAGTAAAACTTCGTTCAGGTGATCTACTTCAATAGTTTCCTTGGTGCTATTTGCAGTATGGTATTGTTTCTTGGGTCTTCGTCTGAGACAAATTCTCAATATTTTTGGTCTCCTTCGTCCTCTTTTGTGGGGATCAAGATCCTGATCCATTTGAACATCTTCTTGACTCTGATTTGAATCGTCCTCATCGTGGTCTTCAGTTTCCGAAAGATTATGATTTTGGCAACTTTGAGAAGCAAAAATCGTTTCGGTTTGCGATGAGTCATCATTTTCTTCAACTGAGATTTCGTTATATGTACATATATAGTCTTCAATATTTGATGAAGTTAGACATAATTATCTTCCTGAAGGTATTTTTGGATGTCCAAATCTTAACTAAGAGAACATTAAGAGCTAGTTTCACAAACCTCGGTTAACTGCTAACCGAAGATTAATTGATTCTCTGTCTCTTCTTAAATAATAAGATAGAAAAGGATAGGTAGTCGACTGAACCTTAGTTAAGGAGATGCTGGAGTGGTTTGATTTACCGACAGAGTCGGATACCGTTTTTGCGTTTGTAAATCTTATTATTTACATTTATGTACAAACTAATACCAGACCCAAGTGTAGAATGCATAGTTGAACATTTTCTTATAAAAAACATTGAGGTTTGAAGTCTAATTCGTATCGCATTATGTATTACAAATATTGCAATACATAATGCGATACGAATTAGACTTCAAACCTCAATGTTTTTTATATGAAAATGTTCAACTATGCATTCTACACTTGGGTCTGGTATTAGTTTGTATATATATGCTACATAATTATTTTCGTTTGTATCTATAATATGACATATTGAGGTTACGTTCCTTGAGGTAAGATTTACAAACCTCCAAAAACTGTATGCGACTCTGTCGGTAAATCAAACTACTCCAGCATCCCCTTAACAGTTAACTGACGTTTGTGAAACTGGCCCTAAGAGATCTTTCTGTTATCATCGTGCTGCGTGGGTATGTAACAAAACAAAAAACAAGAGAGACAATAAATTCTTTAGATAATAAGACAATACAGAGGCAACAAATTAAAAGTGTAAGCAAAGCAGCTTACACTTACAATTAGTCTCACTTTAATTGTTTTTATTGCCATTTGCATAATGATATGTTG